AATGAGATGAGCAGAGCTGGCTCCTGCCACCCTCACTTCAAGGGCCCATGTGCAGTGCGGAGTCCAATATCTTACCTGAAGAATCCCCAGATGCCCAGGCGGTACTGAATGATCACCACCACCACGTTTTCATGGGCAGAGAGGGGCAGACCATCATAGGTTGATGCCCCGCCCACCACCAGACCTCCTCCGTGGATCCACACCATCACCTGGACAGGGAGGAAGCAACCACACAGGTCACAGATAGGAGCAGAGCTGGGAAGGAACTCCAAGGGTTGTCTGGTTGATCGGGACTCAAGGAGGCTGTTCTCTGAAGCTCATCAGCCCCCAGCAAAGGAGGGGCAGGCAATCGCTCTCCTCCCCACTCCCCCAGCTGGGGCCAGGCCACCGCCCACCCATGCACCTGGCTGCCCCTGCCTGTCTCTCCAGCCCCAGTGCTGCCTGCTCCCAAGGCTCTTCATGCTGAGAACAGCATCACGGGAACGGCCAAGGCCAATTGGGTCATCTTCCCCCACACACTCCCATCATCCTCATGCCTGGGCCTCTCACTGTGCTCCCTACACTCTGCCTAGGAAGCCCTTGGGTTTCAGGGTCATTAGTCACCTCTTGCGGTGAATTAAAGTCCTCTTGTGTGTGTGAATGACTATCTCAAGAAGCATCCATGCCCCCAGTGGTATCTCTTCCTTACAATCCTCCCTCTGCACCCCAGGGACTGCCCCCCACTTACCCAGCCCCCTCACATCCCTCCCTCTGCACGCCAGGGACTGCCCCCAGCAGACCCACCCCCACCTTCTGGCTGCCCATCTCTGGGCCTCTGCATATTGAGGAAATGCTGACTCACTGGGACATCTCCCCAGCCAAAGAGAATTAGGAAGGGAAATTAGCTCAAGAACATCTCAGATATTTAGACAAATACAAAGACAAAGGACAATGCTTCTTGGACTGCCCCTGGGTCTGCCTTCACTCCTCTGTGCCACCCTGGGAAACTGGTCAGAGCAGCACCTTTGCGGCTGACAAACACCACCCATTGGCTCAATTTTTCAGAGAACCCTTGCCCTGATCCTGCCAACCTCGCCTTCCCTGATTCTCTGTCTGTAAAGGGAGGGTTGGGGTGTTGCCTTCTCGGTGAGGTTCCTTCAAGCTCTAACTTGACTGGAAAGCATGCCTTAGCTTCTCTGGCAATCAGATGCCTAAACTTGCAACTATCAGTAGTCACGCTTGTCCCTCTGTTCACATGAGCGAACGTGGAAAAAACTGACGATAGGTTCCAGATGTACAGCAAAGTCCCCAGGAGGCACCATGACTATCGCTGGGGAAACTGAGGGATGGAAAAGATGTGTTTCTTGGGGTCACATGGCCTCACCAGGGAGAGCAAAGGAAGCCCAGGGTCCCTAAAATAACAGGGGCTGGGACACTCCCCCACCATGCTGCCTTCCTCCTCCCCA